AGGTCTTCCATTCAATCATCGATACCTTAAGAAAAGCATATCTATGAATGTTTTGGCAAATTAACATATAAAATGCAAAATCTGTGTAGTATAGAAAAATAAAGCAATATATGCTTCTGTTTAGGCTCAAAAAAATAAACCGTCTGGACTACACAAATTTATCAGACTCAATTAGTGATCAAAAAGACTTGAAGGGGGAACATATATCCTTCTGATTCAATACCAACTTTCTCCGAATGAGAAATTGATAGATGGTGAGCTGCGTGCCCCAAGTGTTATTGAAACACTTATCTGTTGAGAGATAAATGAGTAGCTGGTGGGGTTGTGACAAGAATTGSCCTGGGCTTTGCCTTTTTCAATATTAGTCTCGAAAGAATTGAGAACTAATAGATTGTGTGATATGCCTGGATTTTATAAGTTTGGAACAGGATTTTTGTTTTCTTTTAATCCTGACACAACTTTCATCAATTCTTTTGGCTCACAACAACTACCCCTCTCATTTTCATTTTAATCTCGGCACACAAACCCTTTGGTATATAAAGCTCACTCAGATATGGTTGTTCTCATGGGTATGTTTGTCGGTTCTGACATTCCATTGAGGTATTTCTGATAAGCACTCAGTCCCTCCTAAAAATTTACAATTTTGCACATTTGATCACAACAGTTGATCAAAAAATAATATTTCAGATAAAGCACAATGATCAGATAAAAATTGATCAATATATTTGGCTTTAAGCACAATTAATAACAGAATGATGCGACAACAATCAGATTATTCAATATGAGAGAGAAATGAATGAAAATCTATAAGAACGAGTTTACAGATTCTGGTATTAAAAAAATTGAATGTATATCAGTCAACGAAAAACAATATCAGAAAACAAACTTGAATCCAAACGAGCGTATTATCACCGAAAATGATTTTCGTATAAAAGACGTGATAATAAAGTTTGAAGAATAGCTGAAACAGGTATTGGAGTTATGTATGACGATAAATTACACAAGTAAAATCTCAGGAAATACCTGTTCAGAGAATGTACTCGTTTCCAAAAATTTATTCACTTCCAGAAGACATTTATTTAAAACTTCTAGAGACTCTCCCTAGAAAGTTGATTTTAGAAAAGTTTCAGTTAAGCTCAAAAATTAAAAAGGAAACATTTTAAACTCGGGTTCTAATCTAAGTGTTTAGAAACCACACTCGGTAAAGCACGGGACTAAATTGTTCAGAAACCTTGTTTGGAATAAATTACAACTCCCCCTACATTGGTGTATCGCTTAAATGATATTCTGATCAGCACAAAATTTACACACTTGCAAAACCAGATTAAGTAGATTTTGGTACCCAAATGAATTTGGGTCCTATTATGTTAGTATCGGGTTGGGGTATGTTGTAACTTCCAAACCATTTATTCTTATTAGATATATTCTTTCTAGCACTGTGAACAGGATGATCAGGAATAAAATACCAGTAATTGTGATCATACCTGTTCTTACCTTTCGAACTGCTCTGATATCTATTGTTTGTACTCCATCTGTTATAGGTCTTCTTGTTCACAAAATCTGTTGATTTACATGTGGAGCACATGATCTTTTCTTGCTAAGATTTATCAAGTCAGAATTCGATCTCACAAAACAAAGAAGATTATTAGTAGCAACAGGAGTACGAGTTAAAACATATTCAGATTTACCCAAATGCTTTTAATTTTAGAAGAATAATTGGGTGATCTAATGACGTACCCTTGATAATACTGATTAGAAGAATGATAATAGTTCTTAGAAACAGTAGATTTAGGGCTGCTAGAATAACTGTTCGATTTGAGACAGTCATAAAAGCTGGTTTTACACTGAGAAGGAGAACCAGTTGAGCTTTGAGCACATGAAAAGTCTTTGACTTTTTGTAAAAGCTGATCTCTTTCAGCAGTAACTAAATCAAATTTAATTTTTAGTTCAATTCTCATCTTCATCTCAGTTTCAAGGTCTGTCTTTAGATCAGACAATTTGCTTGTAGTGTCTAGGAGTTTACCTTCTAACTCCTTATGAAGCATTTCAAAATTTCTCTTCTGATTTATCAACTCTCGTTTCTCTTCATCTGAGCTACTCTTTTCATTATCCGAGGCGATGTCAAGCCACTTTTTCTTATTTGCAAGCTCTTTAGCAATTGTTGTATACTTCTTTGAAGTATTTCTTTTCTCAAGGGCAAATTGCTTCTTCTCTTCGTCTAAAKCCTTCTAYTTTAGATCAATGTTTTCAGATAATTTCTGTAATTGACTCTGATAGTCTTCARAKATGTCTTTCTTTTCTTTATCATTCTTGGCTCGTTCCAAGATGATCAGCTGCTCAAAATCCGAGATTTGCYTTAAAARCATTTTTGCATTTAGCTCTAKAGAGTTAATCCTTTTCTCGTAAGATACACGTTCAGTTCCAAATTTACTTTCTAGTTCAATCACTCTCTTCTTCTCTTTCTCAAGTTTCTTCCTCTCAACATTCATATCCTTTTTCGCTTTTAAAGTTTCTCTGTAAGCTCTTCAGTCTCTTTAATTTTCTTTTCTGGAAAATTCCTTACAGCATTTAGTTTAGACTCTGCTTTATGAAGTTTATTGACTAAATTTTGTTTTATCTTGTTTGAACTTCTAATTTCATCATCTAACTCACTCCTTTCATAATCCAAAGTTTTCTCAAGTTTATTAATCTTAAAATTCAAATCATTCTCAACTCTTTCCAATGCGGCTTTATGATCTTTTTGTAAACTTGCAATAAATTCCACATTAGCATAATTCTCAGAAAACATGTTTATATATTTGTCTTTATAGTCCACTTTACTCTTTTCCAGCATGGAAATCTAAGTTCTCAACACTTGATTCTCCTTCTATAGGATATCTGCCATTAAAAAATAATATTGATCAATTAGAGGATCTAATGCGATGAAATCAAACAAAAGAAATAAAAAACAATTAAGCTAAAAAAAGAAAAACAGAAACACAAAAAAACTGATGAGAAATTAGAAAAACAACGAAAAACTGTCTAAAATCAGTAAAAATAGTTAAAACTGTTAAAAACAGTTAAAAACAGGCAAAAACAATTAAAACTGATAAGAAACAGTTTAGACGACGTAAAACAGTTCAAAGATTCTCAAGCAGTTTAAACATAGAACAAAACAGAGAACAATTTAAAATGAAAGCAATTAAGACCCAAAATTTAACACAGTGATATGCTTTTACAATCCAGACAAATCCCTCACTGCAAAGATCTAAATCCGGCCATCTCARTGGATCCTTATTCGCTCAATACTCAGCCTATAAATCACACAAAGATGATGTTTAAACTTGATCAGGATGCTGTTTAAATCGCTCACAGATTGAGCTTAATTCGCTCAAATCTTGCAACCACCTCTAAACTGCTGAACAAACTGTTTTAAATTGGATAGGACTGCATCTTCTATCCAGTCAAGACTTGATTATAAACCACCACACAATTGTTTACTACATGAAAGAAAAAAATTCTGTCAACACACAGCAGTGAGATCAAACAGGACAAACATTAAATCGATTACAATATGATGCTTAAACACTCAATATGTGCTCATCGAATCAGTAGTAAATCATTTCTCTATGATTAAGACAACTTAAAACAGGTTGTAAAAAGCTTACTGCTATGGTTTTAAATCGATCAAGTCAGCACAAGACTAAGCTGCTCAAGACTGTTTATAAATTGCTCACTGCACTAAGCTTAATCCGCTCAACAGATGTAAATTGCTTAACTCAGGCAATAAATCACACCCCTCATGCAATAAATCGCTCAATGCTAAGCTGAAAATAGCATACTACAAGAACAAGAATCGATCACTAAACAGACTCTAAACTGGACAAGATACTCAGTAAATCGCATGCTTAATCCGGTCAAGAAACAGCCTCTTAACCGTTCATCATGCAGCTTGCATCTGTATGCTGTATGTGAAATTCAGCAGAAAGCTGAGCCAACARGASACTACAAACTTGAATCAGCTCACAAGRCAACTTCTGGTATGTGATATCATCTGTGGATCAAAGTAAAATCTTCTGCTCAATCTCTCTCGGTTCACATGCTTGAGAGACTTGCTGCTTTGAGAGAATTCTTCAAAACAAACTTACGCAATTATTTACCTGAGTTCTCGTTGCAAGAGCCAAAGAGAAAGGATTTGCTGCTGTAACTAAGGCAATGAAGCARCACCAGAAAGATGACTAAACCAAAATCAATCAATCAAGACCAAAAACAAACCAAAATCAAGTCTGTCAAAACTAAAAATTGTAGATGAACAGTCAAATGCAAYCTCAAGATTGTAGATGAACAAAATTTCAGTCTATTMMATAATTGTCTTTCTTCTAAAACTGATGCCGAACTAGAATGATACAGACTGTACAATCTAGACAACCCAATACAGAATATGCTTAACAGTGATCAACATTACCTGGTCTCTTGATATAATAGAAGTATTGATGGCTCGAACTCTTTGTCAGGTGGAATCCACACAGTCTATGATTCGTATTTTGYGCCTTTCAGTTACTCTTCCCAWTTATATGGAAGTTGCACAAATTGAGGGTTAATCCAGATGGAAGCAACACAGTAAKAACTTTATCTACCCAATTGAGCGATTTAGATGACCGCTCAAACCACTAGTGATAATCACTCAAACCTAAGTCTTAATCGCTCAAACAAAGACTAAATCGCTCAATATCCGCTCAAGACCTAGCCGATATCGCTCAAGACAAATTCTTAATCGCTCAAAACTAGAGTTAAAATCGCTCAGAACCTGTTCTAAATCGCTCACGCCTAAGACTAAATCGCTCACAAACTGTTCTATAAATCRCTCAAACATACAGCTAAATCGATCAAGCAGTCAACTAAATCGATCAAACAGATTCCTAAATCKATTAAKCTACAAGTCTAAATCGATCAATACTAGYTGTAAATCGCTCAACAAACTAACYAAATCGCTCACCRTTATGGTCTTAATCCGGTCAAGTCCGCTCAAGCAATATACGAATTCGGACAAAATCCGCTCAACAGGTGTGCGGTTTAGACTTAGAAAAATAAAGAACCTGTACGATGAAGAAGCTGTGAGCAATTTTCCAAGAAATCTGAGCGATTTAGATAATCGAATGAAGGATGTCCGATTTAAACTTCATACAGAGATTGAGCGAATAAGCCTGTGTCTGATTAAGTGAACCTGCGGTTTAGACTTTGAAACTGGATGAGAAGATCTTGAGCAACGAAGATGAAGAAGATATGAATCAGTCCGGATGACTAAAAAAATGGGCTTAAATCGGTTGGGCCTAATATGGGCTAGAATTAAATAAAAAACAAAAACACAAAAACAACAATTTTTTCATCCAAAAATGGATAAAAACTGGATTTAAAAAAATATCAAGAACATGAAAAAAAAATTCAAACACAAAATCTACCAAAACTTGAAAAACAAAGATAAAAACGCAAATCTTTGTGTATAACAAAGATTCATGAATCAAAAACACACACAACGATTACAAATTTAACACACAAACACATGATTTTGAAAAAAAATYAGATCAAACTCAAAAAAAATATGAAGAACACGAAGAACTTAAAAAAAATCAGAAACTTTCTCTTCAAAATTTCTTCAAAACAGATGATTTCTTCTTCTTGATTTCGTGCAATTCTGCTCTGATACCAATTGTGAGTCCCTTTGTTGATCAATCTTCAAGATATCTTCATAACAATGGCAGATCTGATAATTTCTTTTAAGAACACATAAGAGACTAGAGAGAGAAAGTCAAATCTTCAAGTATGGTCAAACCTTTCTTTACGTATATTGAATTTAACAAATGAGCTCTTACAAGATTACAAAGACTAACACCTTATTTATAGGGTCAAACAACTCGTCAAATGTCAAAGTTAAACCTCACAAACAAATTCAAACACGATGTCTATTTTAATTATAGACAATAGTAACTTTCAAGACGAATACAATTTTACACCGACTTTCAGTCCTAACAGATTACGTGAATGTATGATAAATTGTTATATTTGATCATGTGAGTATGTATAGTTTTATGCATATAAAATATATGCATAATAAGAATATATGCATGCATAAAAAGTGAATATATTTTATGCATGTATGAGTTAATATGTATACATGAGATTGTATATATGTGAGTATGC